TGAACAAGAGGAATTGGCCGTAGCCCACATTTTTCTCTGCATAGACGGCTTTTTTGAGAAATAAGGAGACTCCAGCTCCGAAGAGGAAGGGGAGTGTAATTCCGGCTAGCGCTATCTTGAAAGCATTTCTGCCGTTCTGACGAATTGTAGTTAAATCAAGTTCAAGGCCGACGAGGAAAAGGAAAAAGAGAAGACCAACGCTCGCTACTGATTCGAGTATAGGAGTGCTCCATGATGGGAAAAATAAGTGCAAGAATTCTTTGTTTCGTCCCAGAGCAGATGGTCCGAGCAAAATCCCACCCTGGAAAAAAAAAAATTCCGAATCATGAAAAAAGAAAATGATGAAAAAATAAATAAATAAAACATTCAAAACGTACAAGAATTTCAGCAATGACTTTGGGTTGACGCAGGGGTTTAATGAGGAAAGCGAGGAAGCGGCTGATGAGGAGGACTAAGATAGTTTGAATAATGAGTAAAGGGAATGCGTAGTTGAGAGGATTATCGCCTTGCCAGGCGCCATCTGATGAGGTTCTGATGGTGGTTACGTTAAGGGGCGCCATGGTTGAATTATTTATTAATGTTGAATCAAATATTCAAATGAATATTTGTATTCGTAAGCAGCTGGTTGTTTGAATTTTGATATAAGCTAGAAGCAGAGTTTTATAGAGCGGAGGTTAGTGGTGTTGCCAATTGCCATTACGGTAGTGGCCTCTTGTTTTGTCTTTTGTGGCCACTATCTGACTTATTTGATTCAACTTCAAATAATTCTGAAATAATCATGCCTCACAAAGCACCCAAATTTATTTAATTAATATTATACATATAATTGAGTCATATAATCAAACAAAAAATAAATAATAGAGTAATCATTTTACATAAATTTTGTATAATTTTTATCCAGTTGTATGATTCAATTATAAGCAGAGCATGATTGAATTTATTTTAGTCTTTATTTGGGAAAGAATTACCCATGCCTGGTTAAAATGTTTTCGATTAAATTTATTTTTTTAAATTGTTTTATTTTTAATAGATTATATATGTAATTTTTGTAAAATGACTAAAACAACATTTATTTTTTCAATTAAATTTTTATAATTAAAAATTTAAAGCTGATAAGTTTATAGTAATAATAAATGTATTCAAAGATATCATCCATCTCTGGATAGTCTTTTCTACCAAAAAAAAAAAAAAAAAAAAGTTCTGATAATTTAATCCACACTATTTTGATCATCATGAAATGAAATTATTCATCCATGCAACAAAATATCAATTTAGCTCGGATGAAACCTTTCATTGCGAAAGGTCAACAAAGATCGATCAAATTATTCATCCACGTCATGTCCCAGAGGTATGAAAAATTACTTCCCTTCACATTTTCAGAATTGTCTGATAGGACCAATACCTATCCTCAATGGCCTTAATTGGTTGGATATCCGATATCTTTTGTCTGGCCTCCATTTACCCCCTAGAAGATTAGTTAGTGTTATACTCATCCACTTTGTTTTAAAAGTATTAAAAACACCCTTGTTGTCAATGATCTGTTATGGCTCCATCCAATATTAAAATTAAAAGTCTATTTTACCCTTCTATCACTCAAACAATTTCTTAAATCCTTCACTCAATAGATATCCAAATCCATAAAACCAACCTTTAACTTATAATTGTATTTTCCTAAGGAAAGTTGCACATTTGTATAACACATTTAAACAGCATTTAACTAAAAATAAAAATAAATTAAATTAAAAAAAATGAACTATGGTAAAGTTAAGTCTTTTCCTTCAAAAATAATTAAAATAAACAACAAATTATGTGGAAGTTATTCTACCATTTTATTGTATTATAGAAACAATAACATAGGAGAAATAAAATAGACTTTTAATTTTAAAATTGAATGGAACTCTAACATATCTCTAAGGATAGGGTTGTTTTTAATACTTTTGGAATAAAATGGATGGATTTGATATTAATCAATCTCATAGGATTAAATAAATAAACCATATGGAAGAAATTTGTTAATTAAGGCCAATGAGTGGAGGTATAGGTGATTCTCCAAATGTGAAGGGAGGTCAATGTAATTTTTCATACCTTTGGGGTGTGAGGAGGGAATGAAATCTCAAGCAAGATGTCGGATAATCACCCTTCTTGAATTACTGATAGATTTTGAAATAAAGGACCCCTAGAATCGGTCAAATTAGACAATAGCATACTAATTCAACTTCCCTGCCAAAGACAAACGAAATTCATAATGGGAAACATATTATAATAACAAGATAATGGGCAGTTAATTGATGAGGATAATTTTAACTATTTTAACTAATAATGGACGGGAGATATCTGATAATGGAGGGGAAGCATATCTATGCAGCTAAAGTGGAGGGCTCCATATATTTACATGTTTCCCATTATCAATTTCGTTAAAATAATCCTTATCAATATAATATGCAGCAAATCTGCCCATTATCAACCCCTGCATATAATATGTTTCCCATTATCAATTTCGTTTGTTTAGTAATGGGCTAACTGATAATGGACGGGAAACATATTATATGCAAGGCTTGGGTGGTGGATAGGAGTGTTTTTGTTAAAATTTAAACTTTTTTTATTGTGGTTAGGGTGCTCTAACAAAATCTCAAAATGTAAAGGGTTAAAAAAATAATCCAAATAATAATAATAATATTATTAAAAAAGAAGGGTAATTTAATAATCTATATAACATACCCACTAATTTATTAAATCTAACCAAACATATTTAATATAACATTTTCAATAATTTTCAAGTAATTTATCTTCCCATTAATATAACATTCACAATAATTTAGCATTTCTAGAACCAAACACACCTTAGTATGTAAATAAGATGCTGATTTACTAAAAGGATATTATTATCCATACTTTAAAAATAAAATGTATAATATGAGCATATTTATTTATAACCTAGGTATTCCATTTATCTTATTTTGTGTTTGAATATTAGATTAACATATAGAAATTATAGAACTTGATTAGGGTATAATTGCAAATTTATAAAACCTTGTGGATTTTTTGAAATTTCAAGGAGGGCACTGGGGCAGTGCTCGCTCGGCCACTGTTACATATGTAAACATGTATTAATTATTTTTACTCAAATCTTATATAAATTTAAAAATTTGGCAACTTTAATTTCCACCATAGAAGAAGCGGCAAGTAGATTCACGCAAGGTATCAAATATATATTCACATGTCCTACGGTGACTCCCAAAACTATGCAACTATTTGTTTAATTTATATATGACCTTTCCTTATATCAATGGACAGTATTTTTAATGGACTGAATCAGTTTGATAAGAGGTTAATCAAAAAGAAATTATAAAAATGGGAAAGCCTCCAACCACTTAGTATATGCTTGTTCATGATAAAGTGGCTTTTACTGATAAATCTAATCATGTTTATAGATTCCTTACATGCGATATTGATAAATGGAAAGGCACTTTTAAAACCGAGATTGTGGGAATTAAAATATTCGATAATGATTTGTTTTGTTGTAGCTTTGTCATTTGATTCAACATTAATGCCTCTTTATAAATATTTCTTCTGGAATATATGCTGCCCTTTAGTTCAGGGGGATTTCAATTTTTTTGTTGATGCGTCTTTCACTTTTTGATATGCGTATCCATTTTTTAGGCTAAAATTCTTGATTATCCGTTTAATATATATATCCCACTCTTAAAATCCCAATTTGTTCGTCAACAAACTTGAAACAAACAATCATCATTGGGTGATCTAGTGGTAAAAGAATGAAGGAAGATCTAATATGATTTTCTCTCTTTGATGGTAAAAGGGAAAAAAATGATCTAACATGATCTCCCAAGAGGAGGATCTAACATGATCTTTTAAGTTCGAGTTCCCTTAAGAGTAAAAGAACAAGAAGAAAATCTAACATGGTTTCTCAAGTTTGAGTCTCTATGATTATTAATAGGGGTGATTACAGGAGTTCTTATCCTGTCGATAATTTTAGGGTCTCAAAAGATTAGTTAAGATACGTGTAAACTAGTCCAAACACTTCAGGTAAAAAAAACAAAAACAAAAACAAACCCTACTTGAAACAAGGAAAGGAATGCATCACTTTATGGCTTATGCAATGGCACTTCATTTATATTCCCACTTAAATTGGAAGTTGAAACTTGCATGATGAGACAGCAGGGCTTGGCCACATTCATTTTTGTTTTGCATCATGAGCTCATGAAAAAACAAATCTTGTCCCACTTTCATTTTGTTTTGGAGCATGGGCTATAAACCAACACTACTAGCCCAATCTTAGTCCACATTTTATACAGTCCTTAATCAGAACCTTGTTGTATTTTGTCATGCCACTTTATGTTATCTTTAATCCTACGATTTTTCTAGGTTATAATATTATCATCAATTATATATTTAATGTTTTTAAGGGGGTTTTTGGTCTTTCATGAAAAAGTGGATGAAACAATGCGTATGAAATATGTGATTACTTAAATCTGTTACGAGTAATGTTAGGTCCACAATCCAATCTCACAACTCTCGACGTGACAGCTCGTAATTGGTCAGTCAACAATTATACAAGCAAGACCTATGATAAGCAGGCACCCACTTATACAATTGTAAACTGACCAATTACGAACTGTTATATCGAAGGTTGTGAGATTGAGATTGAGATTGAGTTGTGAACTTAGCATTAGTGATTTATTTCCTTAAACATTTAATATTTGTTTATGAACATATAAGCCCTGAATTAGTTGGTCTGGCCATTTTTTTTTTTTTTTCCCTTTGATTCATTGATCCTATATCCTCATAATAAAACTGAATCGTTTTATAATCCACCATCTGATAAAAATGGCCTCTTGAAGGTCCAATATACATGATCTATTCAACTTCTTATTATATTTTCTTCTGGAGATACAAAGGTCCACCACTCTGAAATTTCGGAAACATACACTGGTAACTACAAATACACACATATACAATTTACATGTACCAGTAATAACCAATCACACAGCCTTTGAAATCTCTCCTGCACCTGACAGCTCATCACCCTTGAATTTCACGTAGTCAGAGTGACCTATCTTTGTCACCGGCATCTCTTCAGCATGCGCCATATCATGCTGTTGAACCACAAGCACAGAAGATAAAACGCCTTGCCCTGATGACGCCAAAATGTCTCCAATAGGCCCCAACTCCGCAAGCTCGGCTTGGCGGTCCGCTAGTTTCGCCACCATACTCGACGGAAATCTGCCTTTCCCAACAACTATAAGATCGTATTCACCGCTCCGTCCTATTGTTAATACTCCCTCAACAATGTTGCTAGTCACCTTGTCAACGCAATCTGCCACCCCATCCCACTTACTCATAAATTCACCCACAGCAATTTTATCTAGCTCCTGCATTTGTTCCAAAACAAAAGTAAGAATACATAATAAGACCCCGAACAGGCATAAAACTTGATTATTTAGAGTAAACTTTAAGACTATTCATTTAAATAAATAGGAGATCATGTCTAAAATTTATCCTTTTGTATAGTTACGGTGAAAAGATTTAAGAGGAGGGAGCTTGCCTCTTCTTTTTCTCGGTTCATTTTGGCGGTAGAGAAGCTGTAATTCTGTTCGCTACACCTGGTTGGCGCGGGCCTTAATACGACGCCGTCACTTTGCAAACCATCTTTCTCAATGAACCTAACAACGGTCACTTTAACTGCCGGGTGTTCAGCCATCATGCCACCTAACTCTAGAGCCTCACGATCATCGGGCCCACCAAAAAATATGATGCAAATCTTTTGACCGACTGTAGAATTATGCGCCGGAGTTTGGGACCCACTACTGAATCCACGGTCCACAAGCAATCCCACGGAACAAGGAGCGTGCTTTAGCACCCTTTGATTAACTCCTCGCCAACCGTGGCCCAAATTCTCCATTGACTCGTCACCTTCTCCTCTCCATTGTTTATGGAAAGGCAATATAATCATTGTCACCCTCTTATCCTCGGCCACGTGGCAGATATCTTCATGCATTGTGGCCAAAGGGGAGATGGCTGTTGTGGGCCTAACAGAAACTCGGCCCAGTTGACCGTAGGCCTGAAAGCCACGGAACTCTGTCATGCCACTCGCCGCGGCGGAAACGATTGATGAACGGAAAGCCATTCTTCCGGGCTCGTTGGACCATGATGATTGAAGAAGAGCGTTCAGTGAGCTCAACAAGGTGCATGATGAAGGTTTAAGCTGTTTCTTGGTGCTTCTGGTGCCTCAACAAGGCTAATGAGCGAGGATACATTTCCGGGGCCGTGAAAGCAAGCCAGGACTCTGAGCTCGTCCTTAGAGTTTGAGTCACTGGCGTTGGATAAATACACGTAATTTGCGGCGAGTAAGAGCGGAGGTGCGGGCGCAGGTTTGTAGATGGCCATTACTGTTGGTGTTGTAATGAAGGTGGTGAAGAGTGCCATTAGGACTAGAATCGCAAAGCTCTCATCGTTGAGCACCTGTGAGAAGAAGACAAAATGTCATTACTCATTAGTATTGTAATTAATTCATGAATTTTATACACCCTTTTGAGGATGTGAATCGCAAAATCATTTTCAAACATTCTTATGTATTTATTTTATTATCTGCGTGAAAAGCAATAGTTGGGAGGAAGGATCAAGATGGTGCTGAATTGGTGAGGTCTGACCTAAGTCAATGATGGGCCTATGAAAGTATCAGGGCGCACATGGTTAGACCATTGAGGAAAGAATATAGCCTAGCTACCTTGAAATTTTGAATAAAAAACAAAGTTGATGGCTGAAACCTGATGACTTTTCTATATGTTACCTTGTACCAATTTTCCTTTATTGGACACATCACGAATCTTTAGAAATGAACAAGGTTGGTGGTGGTGGAAAACATGAAACACATTAAACTGGGTTGCAATTTCCGTGTGCATCGATTCTTCATTTGAACGTTGGTTGGGTAGAGCATGTGGAGCCACCTATGAAGTTGCTGAGAAAAAACTCATACTAATGCTCTGGAATGTAAAGCAAAGGAAAAAAAGTTGAACAGAAGAGTGCTCAAAAAAGGAATTATAGGGCCAATAAAGATACAAGATTAAACTAATTTTTTACAGTAAATTTCACTCCTTTTTCTTTCATAATAAATTAATTATGTTAGATTTTAATATATTTGCATAAGTAAATAAACTGATAAAGATGATACGTTAAGTGAACAATATTCAAAAATTAAACTATGCAAAACTGACCTTCTTCTCCTTGCCAATGTTGAGAACAATGAGTTCCACCAATCCTTTAGTGTTCATCAACACACCAAGCGTGATGGATTCCCTGGCTGGAATCATAAACATCATGGCCACCGCGAAAGTTCCCAAAATCTTGCCGGCACACGCGGTTGTTATAACGAGCCCCAACAGTCCCCACGCCTTCGCGCCACGAATCGTGGCCACGTCTGTCTTTAATCCACTCGACGCAAAGTAAAGTGGAAGAAGCAAACCCGACACGAAATCTTCAATCCTCTCTATCAATCTCTCCGCAAAATCCCCTCCTTTAGGAATGATTAATCCAAAAACGAAAGCACCAAATATTGAATGGATTCCGATAAGGTCTGTCATAAATCCAGATACCATTACTCCGGCTAAGGTTAAACATATGTAAGCTTCATCGACGACGTCATGTTCCGGTGAGCACCGACGGGCGACCCATTTCATGACGGGTCGTATTGCTACAAACATGAAGATAACAAAAGCTAGGCCTGAAAGGAGTACCCATATGGCTATTAACGGGCTTTTCTTTTCCCCACCGTCACCGTCACCGGCGAGGGCAACAGCTAGTGCTAAAAGGATCCATGCAGCGACATCGTTGAATGCGGCGGCCGCCATGGCTGTCTCGCCCACTTGGGTTGTGAGTAGTTTGAGCTCTGCTAAAATGCGAGCGAGAACAGGGAACGCCGTGATGGAGAGAGCCACGCCCATGAACACCAGGAACTGTCCGTAACCGACTTCTTTAAGTCCATCAATTGTGTTTCGGAGGACAAAAGCGACGCCGATTCCACAAACGAAAGGGAGCGAGATACCGGCAAGAGCAATCCCGAAGGCTCTTTTACCAGTCCTCCGAATCGAGTTCAGATCAAGTTCAAGGCCAACCAGAAACAGAAAGAAGAGAAGACCGATACTCGCCACTGATTCGAGTATCGGATTGCTCCATTTCGGGAATATACGATCCAAATAATCTTTGTTTCGCCCAAAAGCCGATGGCCCCAGCAAAATTCCACCCTGAAAAATAAAACAAAATTTTATCACAAATATTATTAATAATAAAATCTGTTCACTTTTGATACATTAATTATAGCCAATTACAAATACGTACAATTATTTCGGCAATGACTTTGGGTTGGCGAAGGGGTTTGAGAAGGAAAGCGAGAAAACGGCTAACCACGAGGATTAAAGTTGTTTGAACTATTAACAATGGAAAGGCAAAATCTAGGGGATTGTCTCCTTGCCAAGCTCCATTTGATGAAGTTTTAACGGCGGTTATATTGAATACCATCTTGTATTTTTAATGTTTGAGTTCTGGTAATATTAAGTATATATGATAAGAATTTTCATGTGGACGCGGGAAGAGTGTGGAGAAAGAAACGAGTGGCAATGTGAGCTGTGAAGAGAAGTTATGGGCAATTTATAGAGGGCAGAGGGAGTGTAACTTGCTTGTTGCTTTGTTAATTTTCGATATAAGTTTTGGTCCTTGAGCTATACTACTAATAATATTGCGCGGCGTTCCCCGAAATTTGGGTATTGTCTTTTTCTTTGCTTTAGTCTCCTCTGAGTTTGGCATTATTGATATGCATGGTGTCACGAATTTTTCGAGTCAAAAATCATAAATTATTACAGTATTTAAGGGTGTAAAGGATAAGGATGAATTAATTAATTAATTTGGAATTTACTCTATTGGAGTTTGGTTTTGTAAATTGTGGACCAAAATATATCCGATGTCTTCCAATCATATCTTCAAGGGCCTTAAAATAAGGTTCGTTTTAATTAATTTTATTATTATTGCCACGTACAATGTCTCTCAATACACTCTTTCCAAAACTTAAGATTTTCATTTAATTTGAATTCTTTTTAATACACAGATGTATTTGTTTTTGTTCAGGCAATTTCATTATCTTGAGTAAACTAAGCTCTAGGGTGGTAAATACTAAATACAAGAACCTGCCATAGAAGTAATTGAAATCGACGGCTGTTCAATTGATTCCAAGACGTCTTTTACTTGTCAAACTTTAATAAAAGAGTTAAGACTTTTCCCACCCAATTAGTGGTTCTTATCCACAATTTTTTTAAATATTATTTTATTAACTAAATTCTTTTTTTTTCTAGTTTTAGCGTTATTAGCAACCTCATATCACTTTTATACGTTTTTCTAAGTATCATCCATCAAAACCCTTTAAACTTTATTTTTTTTGACTTTATCAATAGTTTACAATCGAACGATTAGGACTTACATAGTTATCACTTTCAAATTAAATTCTGATCAATTCTAATCACTCAAATCTAATTTTTTATTATCAAAAACTCATCGTTATCTCTTTTTAAAGGGTCCAATAATGTATACTAAATTTAATTTTTTTAATTAAAATGTAAATTTAAATAATAAAATAATATTTTAAAAATAAAACTAAAAAAATTGTGAACTCTGGATAAAAATTTACCCTGCCGACTTGCTGTCCTCTGGCAGTTCAACAGAGAAGCAGGACGCGTGATTACTGTCAGAGTTAATTTTCTTCCCGTGCCAAAATCTGCTTTTTCGCCTTCCAGATTTTTGCCACCTAAGCATATAATTGTGAAGGTTGAAAATTAGTATTTGTCTATTTAACTTATCTTTTTTAATTTTTAATGGGATATAAATTAAATATTACAAGTGTTATTATTAAATTAACATAATAATTTTTTTATAAAAAAAAATTAAACATCTGGGTGCGTAAAGAACTCATGAGCACCATGTGATGATTTCTACGTGGCAGCAAAGCTTAACGTAAGTTTGGAAAAGGTTTCAAAGTGAAACGTAGTGGCCAAGTGAGGTAGCCAAACGACACGCATATGAAACGCTGTAGCTTATTGAAAGAGCTTGACTTGACTGGCCATTGATGGCAATGTAATTTTAATAAGAAGCATGGGGTGGAATGTAAATGTTGCCCATTGTCAACGAAGTCTCTCTCTCCTCTCTCCACATTGAAGCCTCTTCAGTTAGTATGTACTAATCTAAGAAACACAAACTTATATTAAAATTTGTGTAAAAAATAATAATAATACCTATATAGGGTCAAAATTCTGACAAAAAATTTATCCAAATCTTTCTTCAAATAATAATAATAATACTTTTTTCTCATTCAACAAATAAATATCACGAGAACCTTACTGAACTCTGTCTAAAGTAAGATCTATGGGCAAGCCATCGCTATTTCTTTGATGTGTTACACGACTTTCGTAGTTGAATATTCCAGTATTTTTAGTTACATAGTCTGCTTAATTTATTTTTATAAAGAAAAAATGAAAAACGACAACCACACAGCTGATTCCAGGCCAGTAGGCATCACAATTATTTTCAACCCAACATCACCAAGAGCCACATCTTTATCATCACTACCACTTATAATTACACCACCAAGACGGCAAGAACCATATCTTTATCATCACTGCCACTGTTGAGTCTTTCCTCTTTACTGGTTGAACCCAGCAAGTTATCAGAAATGGCGCAAATCAAATTAAGATGTTATCCTTTGCCTTGAGGTGAAATGTCCATGGCAACATTTTACCTGCCAATAAAAAAGAGCAAAAAGCAAGGTGCCCGTGAGTCAGAACGTCAACCAACAAGAACAGTAAGATCAACTAAATTAACTTTTGCAAGAGAAGTCTGAAATCCCTCGTGTTTTAGTTTCCATTTTTCCATTTCCCAATTATGAAATCGAGACATCAATCAAGATCTCAGCCACAAACTACCTTCATGAAAAAGTATAAATCTAGTTGTGCTTGCTTCACATTAATCACATAAATCTCCGGCTAAGCTTTCACCGCTCAGGACTAAAGGTTCAAGACCACAAATATACATGTCATTTTTTTCATTGGTTGTTTGATAAATTGGGTTTCTGGGTGGAAGGGTCCCAATGGTGGACGGCAATCCACCATAAGAATCGATCGAAATTTCAAGTTGCAAATTATATCAAAGTTTGAACGATGGGAAATCCACCATTAGACTCGGACGTATTTTAAGTGCGCAATCACTAGTATTAACCAGAAAGCGATATATATACTTTTTTGTCTTTTTCTTTATTCAAAGCATTTTATGAGGCGGTGGCATAATGTGTCGGTCTTATTTCGTCAAGTCTTTAATTAACTGATAAATTACTTGCATATATCTATCTATATAACATATTAAAAATGTATTCATGGCAAAAACTGTTCGTTCGTCATACCGTAATCTGGGAACTGAATTTATCCAAGTCATTAATTGTCATCTTCAACAGTGGATTTTATCCCTAAAAAGAGAAAGATCTCGAGAAATGAAGAAGTGTTGCCAAGTACTGTCCATTATAAGTCATACCCTAATTTGGTTCTTATGAGTTTATTTTCATCCAATAACTCATGAATTGACACCTTTTTCACATTGATTTAATTCCCAGAAGGGAAATATTTTGATAAATGAATAAGACAACGGCCAGCTGTAAACTATAGTAAGACACATGCAAGTTAAGGTTTCTTTTACTCAGCCGTCCCAAGAATCAAATACATAAAAATAAAACCAAAAACAAAAAAAAAAAGAGTTCAATTTCCACGTGATCAGTGGATTAGCATGAGCTATACGAATCTTATCCGGTCCAAATAATTAAGAAAGTAAAAGAATACTGCTGATTTGTCCTCAAAGACAATGTAATATTGACAAAAAAATTATGGAAGAAGCTCTGGACGTGAGATTCAATGGCAATAATAATAACTTAATTATGCATGGACCCAATAATTCAGTGAAGCGTACAATTACAAGCATTGTTTAATTAAACTTAACCAAGTGTTGAACTTTGTTATGAAGGCGTGATTATATGAAATTGTTCTTTTTGGCAGAAGTCTTGTTGCCATGTCACAACACTGTGGAGCGAGGAGAAAAGAATCCACAATGTGAATGGGGAGATATACTATGAAGATGATGATGCTACTGGAATGTGATGTTAATTATTCAAGAATAAAATGATTATGTCGAAGGTTCATTATATCCTCATTCTTTGTTTGTATTATCTTTGACAAATGACAAATAAAAGTTTTTGGTCCACATTTTAAAACATTTTATTTCTGAAAACTTCTACAACATTTGTAACATTACGAATCAAATGGTACAAATTGAAATATTATAATTCAAAAAGACATAAACCATTCACCGTTGAAAAAGAAATGAATTGACTACTATTCAAGGTCCCCCTTTATAAGTTATTATTATATGAGTAAACGATTTTTTTCCCCACCCAAGGTTTGCTAATGACACTTTCCTACTCAAAAAACTTCGAAATATCACTTTCTCATCCAATTTTATATTCCGTTAATAACTAAAATAACTTCACTTTCTCAGTCGGTATTCTACGAGTTACCAAGGAGCCAGGATAAAAAGGGTTTTGTATATAGAAGCTGTGGATCGAATGGTGGTAACTGATTGAATATTCACCGTCGGAACGTCAAAAATCAGCTAAGAACATGAAATCTAGCTTTGGTGGCGATAATTGGTGAGAAATCAAGTATTGAAGTGAGAGATATTCTGTAAAGAAGAAACCGGAGGTTTGGTGGTGACATAAAGAATTTTCACCTTGGAATCGGCCGGAATCAGCTTTGAATAATAACGAAATATTAACTTTGGTGAAAAAATAGTATTTTAAAACTATTTGGTTGGAAATGTCATCAAGGGAAACCATGGGTGGGAAAAAGTCGTTTACTCTTATTATATACACAGTAAATACACTGGAAAGTATTTACACATTGCTCTATGTAGCATTGTATTCGATGATTATATTACAACTTACAACTGACTTAAATAGAAACTATATAATTTATCATTTCTTCTACAACATATTACAATTGGTGTACAAAAATTTGTGCTAAATATATTGAGAAAAATGATAAAACTATCAATAAAAATTTTTAATGGAACATTTATGAACTGTTAAATTTCAGACAAACTTATATTTGAGTTCAATTAGAATGCAATTGGAAAAAATTAAAGCTCATAAAAATTGTGACAAATCCTGACATAACCAATCAGGTTAGCTGAAGATAAATTAACTAGCTATAGTCCAATAACGAAAAACAGGAGGATTAGTCCCAGAATAAAATGATTATGATCTATGTGGAGGTTTAAATGCAAAACCAGCGATTGCTTTCATCAAATCTATATCAATTAGAAGATCAACATCCTCTTAATTTTTGTTTGTATTGATTGACAATGACAAATCAAACTCTTTGTTGTGTTTGGTAATTGGTCCACATTTTATTTCGAAAAACTTCTACAACATTTGACTAATCAATGATACACACTTTACAAATAAAAAGAAGACAAATTACATTACACGTATATCTTGTAATTTGAGATGAACTGAGTTAGGCTAAAGAAAGAATATAATATAAAACTTAGTGT